GTTGTTAATAATATATTTTAAATAGATAATATTATAAGATACTTCATACATGATAATTCTATGATTCTTCTTTTGTGTGATGTAATTTTAATGGTTAACATAAGTTCATATAGAGAAAAAACATCTCAATACTCGCATATTGATGAAAAAAAATGAAAGTTGATAATATAGTACCCCAATTTTTTATTGAAATCCTAAAAAAACATTTATAATGATTTTTAATAATTTGTTTTTGAATTTTTTATTACCGAATTCGACCGATTCGGTCGATTCTCGATCTGAACCGTCGATTCACCAACCCGAATGGGTTTTTGAGGTGCCTGATCCGGGGCACCGATCTGTTTTTTAAACCAGGTTCAAAGTATGTCAAATTACTCGAATGGCATGCTTGTTTAGGGTTCTTAACTTTAAACAATTGTAATTTGGGTAATTTTAAAGATATTTTATGAAAGCATACTTGAGTGAAATAAAAAAAATTAAAACAAAAATCTATAATGTTAATTGGATTTTTTTGATCCCTTATTGATTTTATTCTTTAGATGATATTATTTTAAAAAAAATGAAATCACACAACAAACGCAAGCGATCTATTTAGTAGATTTAGGATTTATGATAAGATGTGATAAAGTTTTACACTGATTGCATAATGTAACTTATGTCCGGGCTTGCACTGCCTAAGGAAAATTTTAAGATACTCGCCTCATTACATCAAATAAATAATTGAAATAAGGAACATGATTCACGTAATGAATCTCAAATAATTAAAATAAAGTTTAGATGATAAGGATGATGATATTACGATTAAACCTATCCGTTTAAGGCTTAGATGCTGAAGAGGACGATTAAAATAAAAGGTATCCGTTTAAAGCTTAGATGATGACGACGATGATTATAATGAAAGGTATCCGTTTGGTAGATCCTCTATTTAGGCCTTTAAAAAAAAAAAATCGTATTTGATTAAATGATTATTTTTTGAATCAAATAAGAAATTTCGAAATTGTTTTGTCAATCCAAGATGCCGATAACCATCTGCCAAATCTTACAGTGCATGAGAGTGAGTCCAAATCAGCACGATTCATATAAGAGCTTTCTCTATCTCTCAAATGAGTGAGGCATGAATGCCCCGAAGGTTCCTTCTTTCCCTCCTGCTCTCTCTCTCTCTCTAAGATGAGTGAGGCATGAAAGCCCTTGCACATTCCTTCTCACCATTTCTACCCCAGTATTCACAAGTCCTGAAACCCTGTTTGATCTCTCTACTTTCGCAGCAAAGCCATGGCCTCTATCAAAAGCCCCACTTTTCTTCTACTGACCACTCGCCCAAGCATCGCCCAACGGTTCGAACTCCCTGCAAATTCAGGTACTTTTCCACCTCTCTTCCCGCTCGAGAATGGATAGAACCGTATGTGGACATCTCTGATTTAGTGGAAAACCCTAAAAATTTCAAGCCTTCGCCTTGGATTGAAAAGGTAATCGAGCTTTTAGATGGATCACCAGACTTGGAATCGCGTCTTGATGATTTTTGCCGCAAGTTTTTGATCAAATTGTCACCAACATTTGTTGATCACATCCTGAAAACCCTAGAAAACCAGAGCTCCCGAAAAGGCCTAGAAATTCAGAAATCCCCCAACACTTTAGAAATTCGGAAATCCCCAGAAATTGCAATTCGTTTTTTCAAATGGGCTGGAAGGCAAAGGAAGTTTATTCATAATATCGAGTCTTTTGTCTCGCTGATCAATTTCTTGGCATCTTCTGGGGAGTTCAATGACATTCATTCAATAGCCCAAGAGTTCAAAGTACAAAATGGGGTAAAGCTCTCTGCTTTTGCTTCCAATTCCCTGATCAAGAGCTTTGGGATTGCTGGAATGGTTGAGGATTTGTTATGGGTATGGAAAAAAATGAAGGAAAACAAAATTGAACCCAGCTTGTTTACTTATAACTGTTTAATGGATGGTTTGGTGAATGCTAGTTATATTGAATCTGCAATTCAAGTTTTTGAGGTTATGGACAGTGGGAAAAAGGCCCCAGATACTGTAACTTACAATATACTGATTAAGGGTTTATGCAAAGATGGAAAAACCCAGAAAGCCTTGGAGAAATTCAAGCAAATGGGGATTAGGAACATCATCCCTGATAAAATTACTTATCTAACACTAATTCAGGCTCTATATCCAGAGGGGAACTTTGATGCTTGTTTGGGTCTTTACCATGAGATGGAGGAAAAGAGTGTAGAGATACCTCCCCATGCATATAGCTTAGTCATTAGCGGGCTCTCTAGAGAAGGAAAACCCTTTGAAGCATTTAGGGTTTTTGAGGGCATGGCTCAGAAGGGGATCAAACCAAATGTGGCAATTTATACTGCTTTGATGGATGGGTTTGGGAAAATTGGGGATGAGAGTAAAGCGACAGAGCTTTTCAATAAAATGAAGGCTGAGGGGCTAGAGCCTGATGAGGTCACTCACAGTGTTATGATTAGCACTTTGTGCAAGGCTGGGAAGGTGGAGCAGGCTACAGAACATTTCGTTATGTGTAGAGAGATGGGTTTGGCTCTGAACTCTATATCCTACTCTTCGCTTATCAACGGGCTTGGAAAAGCCAGTAAATTAATGGAGGCCGAGAAGCTCTTTGAAGAGATGGTGGACACTGGGTGTATTCGCGATTCTTATTGCTACAACTCACTCATGGATGCCTATGGAAAAGCGGGCTTGGTTGATAAGGCCTTGGACCTCTTTAAGGAGATGCAATCTGAGGGTTGTGCACCAACTGTCTATACATACACCATATTGATTAATGGGTTGTTTAGGGAGCATAAAAATGAGGAGGCCTTGAAAATTTGGGATATGATGATTGATAAGGGGGTCACACCCACCCCGGCTGCTGTCAGAGCCCTTTCAACTGGACTCTGTCTCTCTGGAAAGGTGGGGAGGGCTTGTAGAATAATGGATGATTTGGCTCCTAAGGGGGTTCTTCCTGATACAGCTTATGTTGATATGATCAATGTATTGTGTAAGGCTGGCCGTGTAGAGGAGGCATGCAAGTTGGCTGATGGGGTTGTGGATAGAGGGCGTGAGATTCCGGGGAGAGTGAGAACTGTGCTCATCAATGCATTGAGGAAGGCTGGTAACGCCATGTTGGCCATTAAATTGTTGCACAGTAAGATTGGCATTGGATATGATCGGTGGGGCAGCGTTAAGAAGCGAGTCAAGTTCAGGGTTCTTCTTGATGGGTGAGACTGTTAATTAGATTGTTGGGAGGTTCAAGACGATGGCTCAATTAGATGGTGATCATTGTTGCAAAAGGTTGTGGGTTCCGAACCTGGCCTATGTAACAATGAGCGATGATGACATTGTTGACAGTCTGGTTAGTGATTTTGTGGCAGGCTCATCAGATTAAGAAAAAGGAGGACCAAGTGAGGAATCTTGAGTAAATTGATCAGCTGTAAATATCTCATTCTTGGGGCAACACAAATAGGAAAAGCAAAAAGGAACTTGAGAATTGCTTGTGGACTAGTGCTGATTGGAATACCTATCTTGGTATGGGATTGATGTTTGTTTTCTTCCTCAAGTGATTTTTCTAGTAAGCTATCATACTCAAATAGTTAATAAAAAAAGTTTATTTCCATTGAGAATTTTGTGAGTAGATTTCCTGTATCTTAAACCTTTTAGGGGTATCATTTGATCATTATGGGAGCTATTTATCTATGTAAACTTGATTGCACTGCTTCACGAGTGTGAATCTTATTTCCCTCAGTCGAAAGAGTGTGAATCTTATTCTCTTCAGTTTTAAGTGCCGTACTTGTTCTGTTGTACATCTGTATCTGCTCAGATATACTAGATGGTGAAAACGGGAATCTAAGAAATCCAACTTCAAAGGGAAGAACCTATGAAAGAAAGTATGATTCGGTCGAGGACTGCAAAGGCCATGCAGTTGTTGTTTTTTTTCTTTTGCTTTCTATAAAATGAAATATATTTTACCATCTGTATATCTCAAGGTCATACAAATGTTAGACCTCATTAGACACTTTCACCAGAATGCTTATTGTATACACTCCCATTCTATTGGAGGCAATAACTAGCGCGCTCTCTCTCTCTCACCTACACGCGCACACATGCATGTAAAACTTATCTTTGTTGTTACAATTGATCCTTCTCTCTTTCTTTCTCACACACACACATACACATACATGTGCAGTGTCGTAATCTATACCACTGTCTATAAAGCTGGGTTCAGGCTCTGACTGACCAGGATCCTAGCCCAAGTCGGACACTAAGCCAAGTCGTGCCTGACCGAGCATCAATGAGAGAATGTACATCAACCAAAGAATATACATAAAAATTTTGGACTTGGGTCATGCTCTCCCGATTTTTAGGGCTAGTCATCCGGACCCAGCTCCCAGGTTTATGGGATTTGAGCAAGTCCAAGATCAAGTGAGAGATTTTTAAACATTGATTTATAGAAACTTATTGTTTCAGATTGTTATGATTGATCCTCTCACACGTGATTATTAAAATCTATCTGTGCAGATTGTTGTGATCGACACTTGAGATATCATTGATGGAACAGTGGCGACAGCAACTTGAAGGATACAAAATGCATACAAAGTCTTGGCAGCAGAATCTGGGGAGCTTATACCACGCACTGAATAGAAGTAGATACAAATTGGAATAGACTTTCTTGGATTTTATTTGGTCTCTTTCACCTCTTCTTCTTCTGTGTTCTCCAGGTTTTTTCATGTGTCCTGGTTTTTCGATAATTTAATTTCCACATATTTAGTCTCATTTGCGACTTTCGAGTGATTAGTGGGATCAGTATCTGTTTTTTCCACTTATTTAGTCTCATTTGGGTTTTTAAGAATTCAAATTTGATTTTTTTTAAGTACTTTTATTTTTGAATTTACATAAAATTCTCATGCACCTTTTATGTTTTAAAAATAGGCCCTATATTTTCTATTATATGCTTTAAGTCTCATTTTTCCATGTTTTTCTTCTCAAATTACCTAATGTTGAAATATCTAATGTCCAAACTGGGGTCTGAGAGATTGGATCCTCGAACAAGTTTCTTTGTGATTAAGCAGCTTTGGACATCCAAATTTGAGGTGGTCTTTCACTTAGAAACAAAGACCTAGTAGCCATGTCCTGGCATTATTGTCTAAGTCCACCTACAATCCAATCTTTTTTTAATGGGTGTGGTTTCTATAAGTTTGCAACCTTAAACAATCCAATTAAGGCCGACCTTCAAATTTTATCATAACATATAATTTTGATCTAAAATATTATTAGAATTATCTTAAAATCTATTTTCATATCTAATTATAAAATTTTAAACTCCAAAAATAGTTAAAATCATGTAGATTTATAAACATATGAAAATTTTGAAAATGGATGGTCTAGATAGTGAGTTGTAAGATGCACTATTTATGGGACTAAAAATCAAAATTTTTTTTTTTTCATAGTCACGCATCTCAATATTACACATCTCGATGTCGAGATGATTAATTAGAGGGTTTTTCAACATTAAAACAACATTTTTCAATGGATTTTTGAGGTGCATCTGTAGTTCTACATTTTAAAGTTTTTTTTTTAATTAAAAATTAGTTCAAATGTAGGGGCGAATTTTTTTAGTAGTGGATGGCCGAAGTTCCCACTTACCATAGCACTCCTGCGTTTATTATGTGGGAGTAGAACCACAATATGGAAATGCGGCATTCCATGCTTCTTTAAAAACTTTATAAACATTACTTTTAGAAGTCCTTAGGTTCGGACATCGAATTCTCAGTTCAACTCTTTTGCTAGTTTTTTAAATAAAATTGTGTTTTGGACATTAGATATCTTAATCGATCCAATTACAAAACAACTTATTTAGCCAATGTCGTTGATTCAAATGAAAGATTTGGTTTGGACCTCCGAATTGGAGGTAATTTAAAAATCAAAGTGCGACGAAATTACGTCCTACCCCTTTAATTAACCATTATTACCAAAATCCTTTATAACTCATGCCCATTTTGAAAATTTTCATTTTTTCTCCAAACTGTCTCAACTTTAAATTTTCAAAATCCGAACTTGTTAAACCCTTAACGGTGCCACATATATTCCTCCTAAGTTACTGGTAATTTTAAGTTTGGGATTTGAGACCCCGAAACTATTAACTAGAACGTAATTTGACAACAGTAGCAATCTCGGGTTTTCAAACCCTGAAGTTTCTGGAAAGTTTTGAAAATAGAAAAACTTCAGAGCTTAGAAATGTTTGAGGTTTCTGGAAACTCTAACACCTTTGGGATTTGAAAACCCTAGAAACTTTATGGGAATCTGCCTTTCTTTGTTTATGTTTAACCCATAATATTCTCTTTATGTTTCTAAGCAATTGCATTTTAAACTTCGGATTTTGAAAATCTGGATAAATAGTATTTTGGTTATTTTTAAAAAATCAGAAAAAAATAGGTATGAGTGTAATAATATTAAAAAATGACAATTTAGTTATCATCATCATAGCTTTTTTTCAATAACTGGGGTCGGGTAAAAAGTGGAATTTAGTAATATGGTTAATGAAAGGAATACGAACATAAATTTCTCATAATTTTAGAATAGATTTTTCTTCACTTAATTCTTAAATCGAAGATATGTGATAATAAATTAAGGAAAGCACTTTGCAATACCTATGGCTGAAATTGTACATTGATTTCGCCTATAGACTCGCTGACGTCCATTTTTCGCAGATGGTGGGGATTTCGCATCGCACCAACTCTAATATAGTTGCTGTGATTTGCAACGGCTTTATTAGAACCGGTGTAGTGTCTGGGCATTGATGAGCCAAGCATGGGCTCCTGCCTGAGTCTATGGGACATGAGCTTATTGGGTCAATCTAAGAAAAATGACTTAGGAATCTATATCTAGCGGTTTGGTGATGGAAGAGCGGTAAGAGCTTGAGGACGGTCAGATTGTAGATCGGAATGGTGGTCCCAGCGATGTTTGTCCCTTCTTACCCATTGATTCTTCAATGGTTTCGGGGATGCATGCCAAGCAGAAGAATGTGGTGGTGGGTTCCTTCTCACCACCTTCAAATGATACTTTTGGATCGGGTTACTGGGCTAAATGTGATTGGGGTTAGTCTTATACTCCAGAAGTTAAAGTGCTAGGTGATTTCAAGGTTGCTTTCTTTCTTAGAGAGGAAGCGGAGGTTCATTGTGCTTTGCGTAATAGATTCCCAAGAGTTAGAGGTTAACTTCTTTTCTTGGACCTCTCGTCTCTTAAGGTTCATGATTCCTTTGCTCAAAGGGGCGTTTTGTTGTCATGCTTGGAACTTGAAGATTATTCAAAGGATTGCCAATTGTTGTGGCGATTATTGTGATTTGGATTGGGATTCTTTTCTGGGCATGGATCAAACTTCCATTAGAGTTAAACCTAGATCGAACTTCCATTAGAATTAAAATTTGGAGGCTCTCCAATGTGGTTGTTCGCAATAATATTTGGTGCTTTTGGGGGGCTTTGGATATCGTGGGACCCCCATATTTTATATAGTTTTTACTTTGTTGTAGGGACATGTTTCTTTTTGTGGGGTTTCATGATCCTACTTCAGGATTTTCGTGGGGTTTGGTGAATGTGTGTGGACCATCTTTACATACTTTTAAGGAATGCTTTATTAATGATCTGTTAGAGGTCTTGAATGGGATTAATTTTAATGTTTGTTTGGGAGGGGACTTTAATCTTATTCGTTGGCTTGAAGATTCCTTGTTTGGTACTACCGTGAATGTTTCTATGCATTTGTTTAATTGCGTTATAGAAAGACATTCGCTGGTTGATCTTCCTATTGCTGGTACCACCTTTACGTGGTCTAACAATTCTACGACCAACCTACATATGTCTAAGATTGACAGGTTTTTGGTGTCCGGGGAGTGGATAGATGCCTTTCCTTTAGTTGTTGTTCGGGCTCTTTATAGGTTATCTTCGGACCATACCCCAATTTTGCTTGCTTGCAATCCGGTGGTGGTTGGGTCATTAGATTACTAGTTACACAAAAAATTGATTAATATCAAACATAAGCTCATTTCGTGGAAGAGGGAGAACAAATGTCATATTACTAATAAGACTGATGAGGTCCTGCTTGAGATTGACGCTTTGGATTTATCCATTCAGCAGGATGGAGTCTTATCTGAATTAGTTAGCTTAATGAAAGTGATAGGAACATTAAATATTTTCATACCATTGTTAGTTCTCGTAGAAGGATTAATAATGTCTCAGGCTTGATGGCTTTGGGGGTTGATCAGGATGCTGAGTTAGCTATAGGGGAAGCTGTGGTTAAACATTTCAAAAAGGCTTTTACTTCTTAAATGCGCTTTACCTTGAGGTTTGATCGTGTTCCTTTCTCGACTTTGTCTCTTAATTCTATTGGTCCTCTTGAAAGGGAGGTCACGATGGAAGAGCTGAAGGAGACGGTTTTTGCTTTGTTGGGGACAAAGCTCCAAGGTCGGATGGTTTTCTTTTGATTTTTTTTCAAAATGGGGTTTGATTAAAGAGGAATTGTTTGAAATGGTTAAAAGGCTTTATGATTCTCCGGGGGGGGGGGGGGATTTTTCAAAAGGGTGAACTCTACTTATATAGCACTAATCCCCTAAAATATATGTTATTGTGGAGTTATTTGATATTCGGTCCATTAGCCTGCTTACAAGCTTCTACAAGATTGTGATCAAAATATTGGCAGAGAGATTGAAAGTTGTGCTACCCAAGTAATCTCCGGCCCACAATGTGTATTCATCGAGGATAGGTTGATTTTGGATAGTGCATTTGTGGCTCAAGAGTGTATTCACTCTAGAGGTTTAAATCAAAATTTAGGAGTTGTGCTGAAACTAAATATAGAAAAGGCTTATGATAGAGTTGAATGGGGGGTGCCTCTTGAGATCATGAGAAGAGTGGGTTTTGGAGATCTTTGGCATAGTTGGATATTTGGGTGCTTGTCAACAACACACTTTCAGTGTTATATAAAGGTAGTCCCATCGGCTTGTTTAGAACTTCAAGGCGGCTGAGACAGGGTGATCCTCTTTCTCCATTCTTGTTTACACTTTATGCGGAATGTTTTAGCCTTTATGATAAGAAATGTGGTGGATAGGCGTAAATTTTCTAGCTTTTGGATTGCTAATAGTGACCTTAGCATTTTGCGTCTTCAATATGCGGATAATACGCTTATGTTCTGTTAGGCTGCGGTGGAGCAGATTCAGAACACACCTTTTTTGAGATGTTATGAAATGGCTATGGGTCTAAAAGTTAACTTTCAAAAGACTTCGATAATTGGTATCAATTGTGATGAGTTGGTTCTCACATATTTGGCATATATTCTTAATTGTGGGATTGAGTCTTTTCCTATCATTTATCTTGGGTTGCCTATCTCTGATAGAAGCCTCCCTAGTTCGGTTTGGGATGGGATACTTCAACGAGTGTAAGTGAAGTTAGATATTTGGAAATACAAATATCTTTTTATGATGGTAGAGCTACTTTACTCCAAGCTTACCTTTCAAATTTACTCATTTATCAAATATCTAGTTGCCAAATTCCTTATTTAGTTGTTAAAAAGATCGAGAAGATGATGATGGATTTCCTTTGGGAGTCAACTGGAGAAGCAAAAAACTTTTACTTGCTTAAGTGAGATAGGGTTTGTGCTCCTAAGATTGAGGGTGATTTGGGTTTTAGGAAATTGAAGTTGGTCAAGCAAGTGGTGATGGTGTAGTTTATCCTCTAAGGATCATCAGTAGTATAAAGTGTTGGAGGCTAAATATGGGTTGGACAGGCATGGTATATGGTTAGGTAATGATAGAGTAGCTGGTACTACTATTGTTTGGAAGGCTATTGCTTATTGTAAGCCGTTCATAACGAGAAATATTCGATGGAATGTTGGTAATGGGGAACTTATTTCTTTTTGGAACCATACATGGCTGGGGGATTATCCTTTAAAGTTGGTCGACCCAGAAGTTTTCAATAGGGTGGTTGATCAAGATGCGAAAGTGGTTGATATTGTCGAGGGGTGTGGTGATAATGCTGCTTGGTGTGTGACTTTGCGCTATAATAGGATCAGTGGAGTGGTTGTTGATCAATTTCGTTATTTGCTGGAAGCTCTGGATAAGGTTTATATTCCTTCTAATATGGAAGATAACCTTATTTGGGATTTAGTGAGTGATAGGATATTCTCAGTCAAATATTGTTATCGATTATTGTTCCATGATAGGTGGCGGTGGTCACCCCCTATGGTTGCAAAAGTTTGGAAGTGGCCTATTCCTCATAAAATTCAAATTTTCTAATTACTGATAACCTTATGAGAAGAATGAAGATTTTGCCTAATATTTGTCTTTTGTGCAAAGAGGATGTGAAATCAGTAGCCCATCTTAATCTTGATTGTTCCTTTGCTTTGAGAATATGGGGTCACTTCTTTTCGCTTTTGGGCTTTCATCCAACGATGCCACAGGAGTTTGGGGGCGTCATCTTGGAGATGTCTATGCCTCATTTACCTAAAATTGGATCTATCATTTGGAAGATTATTCGTGGTTTAATCCCTTGAGAGATTTGGAAAGAAAGAAATAGACGTACATTTGATGGTGTTTGCCTTCCGGTGGAGACAGTGTTAAACAAAATTGTCCTCACTTTGGTCTACTCTTAGCATTTCCAAGGAAGGCAAAAGTATTTTGAAGGTGGATGTGACCACTAACCTTCGGAATTTGATTATGTTGGGGGTGGCTAAAATTAGACCGATAAGTTTTTGGACTCCACCATTGCTAGGGGTCTTGAAACTTAATTTTGATAGGAGTTCGTTGGAGAATCCAGGCCAAATAGGTGTAGGGGGAGTCGGGAGTGACTGTCATGGGAATGTTATCTTCAGCTATGCAAATCCAGTGGGAGAGGTCACAACAAATTGTGCTGAATTGATTTCCCTTATCCATGGTATAAATGTTGTGCAAAAGTAGAAATTTGGAATGATTCTTGGATTGTAAAGGATGATTCTTTGTTGGTGCAAAAAAGAGTTGGGAGTTCCTTGGAAGCTGGTCCCCTTGTGGTCTCCGGTATTAGACATTGCTTTTGCTTTGTCTGTCTCTTTTTGTCATGTCTACAGAGAGGCCACAAGTACACACTCTCTCTCGTTTGAAGCACCTAATCAGTCTCTCTCTCTGGTCATGGAAGCTTGGGTCCCTTTCTCTCTAACCTCAATTACAGCAGGGCTTCGCTGCCCTCTATCTCTCTCTCGTCTTAGAAGCTTGGGGCCCTCTCTCTCTCTAGCCCCATTTACAGCAGGGTTTTGCAGCTCCCTCTCTCTCTCTCTCATTTTAGAAGCTTGGGGTGCTCTCTCTTTCTCTAACCCCATTCATAACAGGGCGTTGCAGCCCTCCACCTCTATCTCTCTCTCATTATGGAAGCTTGGGGCTCTCTCTCTAACCCCATTTATAGCAGGGCTTCACTCATTTAAAGCAGGGGTTTACAGTCCTCTATCTCTCCTCTCATCTTAGAAGTTTGGGGCCCTCTCTCTCTAACCCCATTTTCAGCCGGGCTTTTGCAGCCCTTTCTCTCCCCCCAACTTAGAAGCTTAGGCCCTGTCTCTCACTAAACCCATCCATAGCAGTGCTTTGCAGCCCTCAATCTCTCTCTAACCCATTTACAGCAGGACTGTGCATCATTGAGAGCATGGAGGCGAGAGCAGAGAGACGATAGGGAGTTAGAGAGCAGATAGGGTTGAGAGAGTGTGAGTCGTGAGAGACCAAAAGAGGCGTCCAATGAGACGAGGGAAAAGGCTGCACTTTCATCTTTGATTTAAAATTTATTTGGATGGTAATTTTTTATTCGGATAGTTTTTTTTTATTTAATCTAAAAATTTGGTAAAATCTTGTTTAATCTAAAAATTTGGTAAAATCACCGGTCGTTCAAATGGTTAAAATCCTTTTTACAATATTTTTAAATTATAATTAAAAAACATTTTAATTTTGAGTACGTCCAAACTGGCCCTTAACGACTGAAAACGTGGTGATTTTTGCCCCGTTCACATGGTTTATGACACATTACAAAAATGTATGTCTTGACCATAGAAAATGTACATGATAACATTCTTTTGACGTCCAATATTTGGATGGATGGTGATCATCATGTCAAAGTTTATGAGCCCCACTCACTATCCATCACCGTTTGTTCATCACTCAGACAGTGATAAAACTTGCTACACTCATATGAAGCATAATACGTTGCCATTTTTTTATGCTCAAATGGCGAACGGGAAGAGAGGTTCCAAAGGATCGACCTTAAACGAGAGAGAGATCAGACTCTTTTCGGCGTGTTTGATATTTGAGAAGATGGAACTTACCGGTTTTTATTCATGTTTTGTGTTTGATAAAAAAAAGGTAAAGCCTTCTATGTTGTTTCTACAATATAGAAGTTCGATCCTCTACTTATCATTCTGCTGTTCATTTTTTATCAAGAGATCCATTTACCGTTTGATCTTAGATCCGACGTCTTAATGTATTTTATTATTAGTTTTTTTAATATAAATTTTTTGACATAAAATTTGGTACTTTTCATCTTTTCATTGGGTACACCTATAAAAAATATTAATAATAATTTTTCGATAAAAAATTAATGATCAAAATACTCTTTAAAGCTTTTAAAAGTATTTTGGTTATTTTATTTTATTAAAATTTGTTTTTATATATATATATATTTTGTTAGTACGAGTTTAATAAAGGAATGTACTTCCAAAATTTGATGTCAAAATAATTTATAAAAAAAATAATTAAAAATAAAACCGTATAGAGACATGACATTGTTATTAGAACAATCTTAGCCCTCCATTAAAAAATGGAGGGTTAGATAGAGAAGAGGATAGAACTTCCGTAGTAGGGAACATAGAAAAGCTTTCCCTAAAAAAAAAATTGTAAGATATTCTCACTTTTACGCATTAAAAAAGTTTAGTGGAAAAAAAAAAAAAGGATCTTCATCCCTTCCTCACCCTCTCGACTGCTCCTCTTTGCCTCCACCTCCGTCTCTTCAGGTACTTCTCTCTCTGACCCCTCTTCTTCTGTCTCCCTCTGTCTCTAGCCCCTCTTCCTCTTTCTCCCCCTCCCTCTCTTTCTAACTCCTCTTCATCAGGTGCCTTCCTTTTTCCCCTAAAAATTTCCCCTAAAACCAGAAATTTCATTATTGAGCATTTTAGGAGTTCTTTTGTGGACAATAAAATGTTGAAAATTATTAGAATCGTTAGTTTTGGATGTGCTTTATCTTGTAGGGTTTCAAAGATTAAATCATTAATGGAGAAAAGATGCATCTTCTGATTGTACAGCTATGTTTAGGGATATGGTAGAATACTTTTCTGGTTTTCTTTTATTGGGCATTTTAGGGCTTCTTTCGTGGACAATAAAACCAGAATGTTGAAAATTATTAGAATCATTGGTTTTGGAGTGTGCTTTTATCTTGTAGGGTTTGAAAGATTAAATTCATCATGTATATGGCATTTTCTGATTTTTTTTCATTATCTATATCTCTTTTTGTTTTTTGGTTGAGTTCTGCAAATAGAGTACCAGTTTGAGAGGTATTAGAGTTTTAATGCTATGAATGAGTCTTGAACTTCTAGGATTGTAAGGACGGGGGACTGTTAGTAAAAAATAATACATTTTCTTCGTATATTTCTGTTTTTTTTCCCCTTTTGAGTACCAACATATTAAATTTCAAGAAGAATTTGTGAATGAAATGTGGTTTTTCTTTTTTATTAACATTTTAGGGTTCCAAAGGAAATTTACTAACCCTGCAGACTGTATTATCCTCCTCGCCCAACTGAATTGGGTATTTTTACTGCTTTCGATGAGAACACCTTCTTAATGATGAATAGATGCCTAAGACGTCTTGCTTTTTTCAGACATTTTTTTTTCAGATATTTTATGAATGGAAGTCTATCAGATTGTTCTCTTATGAAAATGCAGATTTTTAGATGAAATTGCTAGTCTTTCTTTGGATATTTGAATGGATGCCTAAGCAGTCTTGCTTTTCAATCTCTTGCTCGATGCACTAAACATGCAGTTTTTTAATTGTGTGAATGGATTCTTTCTAATTACTGCATCGATGGACATTAAAGATCGCCACAATCTGATTTGGATTTTATTTATTTATTTTGAAGGCCTTCTCAACATGAAAATGTAGTCATTTGGACAAAAGTGTAGTCTTTTTTATTTTTTGTTCAGATTGTTGATGAGTGAATGTCCAAGATCTGTGTTTTTTCTTTCTTGCTAGATGGGTATAAGTGATTCTGTTCATCACAATCTATATCATCTGTTTTGTCTAGGTTGTTTTTTGGCCAAAAATTGGTGTATTTGATCTGCTATTGACAACTGAAGGAATGGATAGTTCATGGCGTGAGATTTATTGAAGTACTTGTTTTTAATTTTTAGGGAGTTTTTCATTTACTCTCTATTGTCATTTTAGGGCTTGAAAGATTGTTATGGGAAACCTGTGCTCTACATTTTGCAACTTTCACAATCACTTGCTAATCTTCCAGCATGTTATCAAACACAGAAACCAAGAACTTCTTTAACTTCGCAGGAGGTTATCAAACACAAGAACCAGGAACTTCTTACAGTAGTTTCTATCTTCCCAGCAAGGAGGAACTTTCAATTTGCAGTTCATGAACTTGCTTCCAGTTATCAAACAGGCCCTAAACGAGAGAGAGAGATCAAAATCTTTGTATGAGTTTTTCCATATATTCAGAGCCCAAGAAGCAAGGCGACCATGCCTTGGAGGCCAGTTGCCGTTCCCTCAACATCATGTGTCTGTGGTCTCTCACCATTTCTTTCATCTTCTAACAACCGTACTATTAATTGCAGAGGGCAATTCTCTAATGGGGTTTCTTTTCTTTGCACTGGGAATCAATGGAGAACACCCCAATTGCTCAAAAGAAAAGGTGGGTTCTTTCTGGTTTCATGTGTTGATAATAGGATCAATTGGGGAAAGGAGGGAGTTTGGCCTGCTAAAGAAATGGTTGGTGAGAAAGTACTCAGACTTATCAGTGGTGCAACTTCTAGTCCTGTTGCCCAATTCATAGAAAAACCTACGACTTTTTTGCATTCTATGGACCCTAGAGTAAAGTTGGTATGCTGCCCATCTCTCTCTCTCTCTCTC